CTTGCCCCCCCCCCCCCCCCTGCCACAAGTTTCTCCTCTGCTCCCACCCCCAGCTCTGCCTCTGCCCCTTCTCCCTTTCCCTGCCATCCCTGACCCCACTCCAGCCTCCCCTCCTGCCCACCTCCTGTTGTCCCAGGCCCTACCCAACTCCAAGTTCACCAAGGTCCCCAGTCCCGATGGGGCACTTCCAGCCACTCCACATGCCACTCCCAGCCCTGAGCCCACCTCCTCCCTCCCCCATCCAGGTTCTCATTGCCCCTCCTCCCCAGTTTATTTTATTATTAAAAAAAATATGAAGTTTGTTTTGTTCAAATCAAAACAGGTGTGTTTACTGAGAGTTCAGGGAAGGGTGGAAGAGAGGGGTTGTGGTGGGAAAGGGATAATGGAGCAAGGCCCTAGTGGGGAGGCCCTGGGGAGAGTTATTGGGTCCTTGAGAGGAACTCTCCCTCAGGGCTTCCTGGAATGCGCACCCCCAGCTGATGGGCCTGGCAGATGGCAGCTGTCTGCAGCTGCTCGAAGGCCCTCCCTTCCCCTGCCGTCCTCTGTCTCCGACCCCATTAAGAAGGCCTCCCCCTTCCTTTCCACAGTGTTGTGGAGGACACATGTGGAGACCACTCGGGGATGTTGTGCTCTCCCACAACCTCGCCTGAAGGTGCCCGAAGGTGCAGTCCACCTGCATGAGGGCCCAGCTAAGGTGGGCATTGAATTGATCCTTGCTGGAGTCCTGGTGGCTGGTGTAAAGCTTCATCAGCCACAGCATCGGGGGTAGGCCGCATCACCATGATGAACAGTGGCATCTGCACATTCCCAACCCCAAAGTCATGCCGGGGGAAGAATGTGCCTGCCTCCAGCTTCTGGTACACACTGGAGTTTCTAAATACGTGTGCCCTGCCTGACCACCCATCGAAACTGTCCGGAAACTGTCCATGATGGTCGACCAGGACTTGCAGCACACTGGGAAATAGACTTTCCTGTTGATGTACTGGGCAGCTCAACGATGTGGTGCGCAGATTGGGATGTGAGTTCCATCAATCGCTCCGCTGTAGTTGGGGAACCCAAGGGCAGCAAATCCTGTGACGATCGGGTCCAGGTCTCCCAGGCAGATGACCCTGCGCAGCAGGACAGAGTTTATGGCCCTCACAACCTGCAGAAAGAGACAAACACACAAAACAGAATGATAGGGAGTGCCTGAGCTCTTGGGAGGTGCCCGCCCCTTTGCCTCCCCTCCCCTCAAGCACCCCAGGAGCCACCCCCTATGAAGCCACCCCTCCCCCCCCCAGCGGGGGATGTGGAGGGGCTGAGGGCAGGGGTTGGGGATGACCAGCAGCTTCAATACACTTCCTTTTCCCTAGCAGCAATTTTGATGAACAATATTAATTTTCACAAAACAATGGGTTTACTCTTCAACATTTTGTGAAGAAAATGCCTAAGATCAGGCAAACCCCCTGCCATGGGTTGGCATTGGCCTTTTCCGGGCACATCTACCATGGCAGTGAACCCCAAAGCCATGGCAAGAGACTTGGGCTCCCAGGCTCATGCTATCAGGCTAAAACTTGCTGTGTAGGCATTGAGGTTGGGGCTGGGAGGGGAGCTAGTCTCAGTATAACTTAAAAGTGTTGTCTTCACAGCCATTTTAATGCAGCAACATGAACTCCAGTCTGGTGGCATTAGATAAGTGGCACATAGCTGCTGGCTGTGTAGCTGTCCCTGAAGAGAGAAGAGGTTTGTGCACCTGAGCTCTAGAATGAAACAGAACTGGTGAGCAGTGCCTTGGAGAGTCAGGAAGAACAGATGAATGCTGCTTGGAGCAAAGAGATGAAAGAGAGCAGTATTTGCGAGCCACCAGTGCAGAGCATGTAGGAAGCTATTGGTGAGCACTGACTACATCTGAAAGAGCTCTTTCAGGAAAAGGCTTCTTCCTTGTACAATGAGGATTACCAATGTCGGAAAAACCCCTTGCTCTTTCGATTTTTTTTGGAAGAACACGATTGCAGTGTAGACATAATTGAAGGTTTTTTGGAAAAATGGCCATTTTTCTGAAAAAAACTCTCTTGTGTAGACATACCCTCAGGTATGGACAGTGGAAAACCCCTGGTATCTTTATGTGTTTAGTGTGAGAACTGGAGAGTAGATTTACTATAAGATTACTGAGAAACTATAAATATAGGGAAACTGAGGCAGATACTTCCTGCCTCCCGTCACCCAGTTGGGAGTTGCCCTGTAACACTCATCCTCTATTCATAGTTTTCACAGTAGATGTTAAATTTTGTTTTGTTGCCATTATCAACTTGTTTCCCTGTATGTATCCACTTCATTAACACTGAGACTACATTTATTATTCTGAAAAATACCTCGAACCACCTGATTCATTGATCCTTGGTTGCCTTGCTTTAAATAGGTCATATCCACTCCTAGGATTTTCACCAGTCTAGTTAATATTCCTTCTTGCTCAAGGTCAGCATCCACCTCATTAGAACATGGCTGTAATTACTGTTATAATTAAAAAGCTCAATTAATGTGAGTAGATTCAGTTCGTTTTCATCCACTCTCTAACCCTCTATTTATTTCGGTGGCATGTTAAGCACATGGTACTGAAATAGCTTTTTCAGTAGTGGCATATATTTGATTTTATCATAAAGTCTTAGTTCCCAGATCCTATCTCATATTCGTGACACTCAGGAGTGACTCCACTGAAGTAGTGGGGTTAGTTTATACCTGTGTCATAAGCAAATCCCTGATGCAGATGGCATCATTTTAACTTTCATTTGGTTGCCAATGTCTCATAGAAACTGTTGCAACTACCAGGAATAGCAAGTATGAAACAGCAATCTGGCCAGCCCTCCTGCACCAAGGTCTGTTGTGGAGGATGGCACAGAGTGAGCTAAATTGGCTCTACAACAGGCAGAGATGTTGGTGGATGGAGCCCGCATGATGGATCTACCACATCACCATAGCCAGCACAAATGAATTGGGGACCCCGTAGATTTACACAAATTGAAAGCCAGTGTTAGTGAGCAGGTTTAGTTACAACCTCACATACACAAGATAAAATTGTGGATAGTTCCATTGAACTCATAGGTGTTACATGGTATAAATCTGCTATGGAAGGTGAATTAGGCCTTTAGTCTGCTTTTTGCACCAGCTTGTAGAGTTGAAAATGCTCAGTTGTAAGCACACAGGAATTCTATTTGTACAGGGTTTGATGTCATGTACCTGTTCGTGAACTTTTTGTGGCTTATCATGCTACTAACCACCATCCTTCTGGTTTTGCTTGGGATTTTGTTCAGGTTCATCAAGCTTCGTTTATCTGTTTTCTGTTGTTGTTTGTCTCATGCCATTTATCTAGGGAATTATTATTGCAAACTACCAACTGACATTTGTGGTCCCTTTTTATTTTTCATTTACAGTCTTCCCTTGGGTAAAATTATTCACTCTCATTGTTTGCAGTGTCATTGGTATGCAGAAAGTACTCAAATATACTTTCCAGTCCCTACAGATCTTGTGAAGCAGTTGATGTTTTGCATAATTTTCTGTGTGATATTCAATCATAGATGTCTTCAAATTCCCTTAAACCTAGTAGGTAAAGTATAATCAAGCTCTTATTGAATGCCTGGGTTTTTATTCAAAGATTTTCTAGTATTGCTCCTCAGAAGCAGACCGTTCGGGAAAGAAACATCAGCTGTTTGCTTTTTTTGCTGTTAAAGATTTTGCTTAACTGTTTTGGCACCTGGTTATCTTGAGTTTTTTTAGACTTTTTAGCCTTACACTTGACCATGCACAAATCTTTTTAAAATAGTCTGATCTTTAAAAAAAAAATAATTAAGGAAAACAGCCTTCTTCTATGATCAGTGGAGTTTCTTCAGTATCGCCTAGACTTAGCACTGTACAGATTGCAGGTTATATGCAAATCATCTCAAAAACTTCTATTAATACATGAGTTTTGTTCCACTTGCACTGATTTTATACCAATGTTCCACTGACTTGTTAAGATTACTCCAGAGTTATACCGGTGTAAGTGGGGGAATTAGGCCCTATGTGTCCCAAACTTTTTAAAGATGAAGACAACTTCTTTCATATTCTTATATTCAGTGAAATCTGGACACATGGAGATGAAAAAAGAACTCCTTGTGGCTTGTCTCCTCTGTGGGGCAGATTGACACTGCAGTATCGTTCTATCAACAGTTGATTTAGAAAATCTAGTAAAGACCCTCTAAATTGACCACTGATCTCTCTCCTGATGACTCCAGAATTCCAACAGAATGAGGTGAATGAGGGGAGTCAACAGGAGAAATTTTTTCTGTTGATGTTCTGCAGCATGGACCCCATGATAAGTAAATCTAAGCTCCCTCGATTTTAGTTATGCTGCTAACGTAATTGCGTAGCTTAGCTTGACCTATCCTTGTAGTGTAGACTCGCCTTTAGAAATGCAACTACTTTCCCCTATTCTTGTTGCACCCAAGTTCCAGCTCTCCTTAAACAGTCCATTCTCATTACCTGTAGTCAGATGTACAGAATGAGTATGATTTGGTGTCAAGGGTCATTTTCATTATACTTGAGCACATACATTAACTAATTATGTCAGAAGTCCCCTCCTCGTGGGACTTTTTATGGGGAACGTCACAGCTGGGAATTGGTCCTCCCAATAGTGTCTGAATTTTGGTGTAAGCTAACACATTATTAGGGTTATATTCCAGCTCTGCAAGTATGAAACATGTGCTCAGTAAATAGGTAACTGACTTTAAGCAAAGCTTCTTCCTAACAGCTAGAATTATAAATAAGGAAGTACAGGTTGAACCTCTCTAGTCTGGCATTCTCAAGTCCAGCAACATCTATGGTCCAGCATGGATTTAGTTAGCCAGATGAGTGTTATCATGAGTGTGGCCAAGTTTCCCACAATCCCATAAAGCTTGTTTACAGCGCCAGTCCTGGCTTTCAGTGTTCTGTGCTATTATTTAGCTCTAATTTGCCCCTAAATATCTTCTGTGTGTCCAGTAAGCAGTGGAAGTATAGTAATACTGCTAGACAACATTAAACTACCATGGTTTGGCAAATTCTCTTATCCGGCACTGGTCAGATCCCGAGAGTGCCAGACTAGAGAGATTAATTCAAAATCAATAGGTACGTTGCCATGTATCTTGTAAAATCTGCTAGTGTGTGTGTGTGTGTGCGTGCGTACTCATACATTTTAAGAGGGTTTTTAGTTCTATGGAAGGAGTCATATGGGAGTATTTCAAATTAGCCAAGCCCTTACATTTTAATTATTTTTAGAAAGCTGCTAGATAATTGCATTCATGGACAGTGAATGATTTACACTAGTCAGAGTAATAGCACTGAAACATTAGCATGGATAATGTATGATGCCATAGTTCATTTACTTCATTTAAACCTTTTTAAAGAAAATCGTCTGCCTGTCTCACCACCCCCCTTCTATAATGCCTGCTGCCCATTTCTTCGATACTACATCCAGGCTCTTATCTTATATATTTCATTTGATATTAATGTGATTGTTACTAAAAATCTTGTATAACAACCCCCTATTGTCAATCTTATCACAATCCTGTCTGCTATTTGCTTCTGTTCTATGAGCTTGGAGTTGATCATGTGATATCAAAAGGAGAAATCTCTGTTTTGATCAAGTTCTGAAAGGTTTCTTCATTTTGCTTTACAAAATGATTTTCTCTATAAATTGTCATCTCAGAGTTGGAATTGGGCACCTGGGAGAGATGGAGTTAAAATGGCACAGGCTTAACCTTCAGTAAAATGTATTTAAAGAGACCCATCAGAAAGAACAAAATTAATTTACATATGAAAGCCATGACATGGGCCAAACCACCAATTTATCATCTGAAAGTACCCTTACCTGGTCTTCCTGATTTTAAAAATACTGAGACATAACTGGGAGCTAGTAGATCTGGATTTTATTTTTGAAGAAATACAATTGGAAAGGACAGGTTTTGTATGTGCCTGAGGGCACGACTAGATGACAAGTTTTTGTCTGAACAAGGAATGCAAAATGCGTTCCCAAGTTTTTGTCTGAACAAGGAATGCAAAATGCAAAATCTATACTGGGCCAAACGTCAGGGGAAAAAACCTCTTTTGGAAGCCCCTTTCTTCTTTGTAGAACGAGGAATACAGGGGCTTCCAAAAGAGTGTGTTTGCTCTTCCACGAATAAAAGCCAAAGAGCAAATGCATTCCCTGGACATGGCAGAGTTTTTTTGGGATACCTCTGGTATCCCGAAACTCCCCCCCCCTCCCACAGTCTAGCCGTACCCTCAGTGTCCTCATTAGTGAAATGAGGATAATAGCCTCTCCTTTCTGGACACAAGTGTAACTCACTTTTTCCTCCCTGGGTTACTTGGGAGCAGGTCACACTCACAGATGTGCCTGGGCACCTGATGGTTTTAACCCAAACGGGCTGAGCACCCCAGTAGTGATGGTGTTTAATTTGGGGGGGGGGGAAACCCTTTCCACCCCTTTGCTGCAGTCCCTTGCTCGTAAGGAATGCACAAATGGCGGTGCCTCCACCTGGCTGGCCCTGCACACACTCACTGGTGTGCCTTCAGAGCCTCCAGGAACATACTCATTCCAACTATAACCTGGATCTAATTCCAGAACAACTACAAATCATATACATCTAATAGAATACTTTAACATAAACAATCTTTACTTAACTTAAATAAACAGGGGTTAACAGATTAGCAATGAACAGCATTAAAAAAAAGCACAACACTTAATTGAAGCTTATATAGCTAACATTTGTACTGACAATAGTGATCCCACCCCAGAGTGTGCAACCCCTGGACTCAGAGTCCCAGACTCCTGCTTGCGTTGGTGCGCTGATGTTGCAGCTGTAGCGGAGATTCTGTCCCGGCTAGACAGCAGCTATGGCCCAGGTAGCACTTTTTCAACAAGGCCCAAAAACTTACTGCCTCATGCTGGCATCTAGTCCCGGTCTGTAGCCGCACTCCAACAGCCCCTGGACTGGATCAATCTCCTTGGCAGCAGCCTGGCTCCCCCTTGGGTTCCAAACTCCAAGGCAGAGTCCCAGACTGCTAGGCCTCTTTTCTGCATGCACAGGGAGAGAGAGTCATCTCCCACACAAGAGTCCTTCCTTCCTATTTTTCCCAAGGGCTCATGGGAATTGTAGTCTGGATTGCAGCACACGGGGTCTTTCCAGGGAAAAAACAGATGCTCCTTTAGTAAGGGGGCTACACAAGTATTATAGAATATGCTTTGTTGGCATCCAATGAAAATTACTGTATGAACTAAATTTTGTTTTGTTCCACTGGTGTAACTCCAGAATCAGAGACTTAATTTTCTAAAAGAGAGCAGGAATTGTACATACCAAGTATTTATTATTAGCCGTAATCATAGATCAATTTGATGTAGGGGTTTGAATTTACAAAAATGAAGATTTGTGAGAGACAGTTTTAGAGGATGTAATGGATAGGAGTGCTGACCAGCACCACATGACTAACGGGTTAAACTCAGGTAGCTAGCAAGGGTGCTGTCTGGGAGAACCAATCAAAATAAAGTGCTAGAATTTGACTTGTATAAGGTATTTTGCCTGTTTTCGTTGTGTGGAAGAGTTAAACCAGAATTTGAGAGAGACAGAGTGATTTAAACCCAGGCAGGACTACCATGCCTCCAAGGAATTTGGGGCATGAAAGTGAACTGAACAAAGAGAAGATCATGAGAAAATAAAGGGGGAAAAGTGAACCTAGTTGCAATCAGGATATTTTCTTTATTTTGTGGTTTGATTTGAACTAATCTGTGTGAATCTATGCCTCTCCTCCCCATTTACTATCTAAGCATTGTTCCCAGAGATTTTCTCTGTTTTAAATTTGTTTTCCTTAGTTGCTCTGTAACATCTAGCAACCAAGTATGCTTTATTAAGTAGATCTTTTGTTTTGTAATAAAAATCACTTTTTTTAAAAGGTGATGATTTGGTTCTTGTGTCCTGGAAGGTACAGGAGGTCAGTCTGTCTTTTTGTGTCTGCATGCCTCAGACTGAGAGGTCAGCTACTAGAGACTGCAGCTTGTTCTCTCTCTCTCTCTCTCTCTCTCTCTCTCTCTCTCTTTTCTTTGTTCAAACTCTCTTGTGGCAGAAGAGCTGCGGGTACCCTAGGGGTGGGTTCAAGTGTTCACCCGCAGTTTTAAAGATAAAAATCACTTGTTGGTGGCAATGACCCTTCACCCCCAAAATCTGTGTATTGTGATTCTGGGGGAAGTTTTCTAACTAGTGACTGTAGTGGCAAGGTATATTTAAAGTCTTTGTGGGCCCCCGTCTTCTGCCATCGGAGTGCCAGAGTGGGGAACAGCGCTGAAAGAGGCCATGAAAGTATAGGTTGGACCTCCCTGGACCAGCACCTGACCAGGCCCAATCGGGGGAGTTTCCTGGACCAAGGGAGGTCAATGCTGGTCCCTCTCCAGACTCTCCCATCCAGGCTTCCAGGTTCCCCTCCCAGCCACTGACACTGCTGTTGACCCTGGCCACCAGGCTCCACATTACAGGCAGAAATGTAAGAGTGCAGTTACTGAGCCTTTGCCAACTTACAAGTGGAAACTTTCCTAAATGACGACAAAACAATTGAATGATCTAGAAACATTAGATGATAAACTTCAGAATATTTTTTATTTCCACTCTCACTCATCTGATGAAGTGGGTTTTACCCACAAAAGCTCACAATATATGTGTTAGTCTCTAAGGTGCCACAGGACTACTCGTTGTTTTCAGAATGTGTGTCAGTTAGGAAAACACCATTTAAATATGCATTCCTCATTTTAATAATTTAACTGCAAACAATACTTGCAACATTAACAATCATGCTTGAAGAAAAATGGATTTTAGTTGTTACACTCTATGTAAATTATAGTTAGCCTAGTGCTTTAAAGAAAATAGTAATTAAAAATCAAGTTTAACTCCATATTTACCTTTTTACAAAGGCACAAACAAATGAATTCAACTTTACAGGATCTTTTGTGGGATGAAACTGGAGTCTTATGTTTGCATTTGTAAGATAAACAAACATATTCATTGAATCTATAAGGACTATGAATTTACTGCTCTAAAGCCTGCAGTTTCTAGAGTTATCACAATAAACTGTTTGTTTGTTTATATTCATGGCACATATCCAGTCATGTGGCGGGGGTTGTATTATTGCCCTAATTTGGTCTAAATTGCTATTATTTGACTGAAATATGTCCTATAAACCACAACACATTGGATATTAAATATTGACTTTTCTCTTGGAAAGACCAATTCATTATCTAGCAGGAATTACACTATAGTAAATGTCCACAAGAAAATAGACTCTTTAGTACTGTATAACTCCTGTTGAAAACTGAGGTTTACAACAGCAGTTATGCCTTTCAGAGCTTGCTTTCTGTTAACTCTCTTACCTTCAATTACCTGGTGCTAGATGCTCCCTTCTCAGGCGTTGTTGAAATAATGTTTGTAATCTAATTTAAACTATCTGTGAGAAAGAAACTGTTTGAACAATCACTGCTATCAGTTTTCTAAAAGTGACATCACGTTTTCTAATTTTCTGGTACCAATTGCTGGAAATTGGCTGTGGAAACTTTTTTGGGGGTGTTAAGTGCATTGACAAAATATATGGACTTGCACAACTTCAGGAATGAAAAGATTACAGTCTTTTACTTCATTTCCTATAGACATCTTTTTAAAATCAAAACTCATGGGATTGGATCTCATCTGTGCTCAGTTCACAGTTGGTATAATGGAACAGAACAGAAAAGATGGTTCTAAATAATTTGTATGCCTCCCCAGATCTTGGGCTTCCTAGGGTCTTAATTAGCCCCAGCATAAACTGGAGCAACTCTGCATTCATTCCAATTTATGGCAACAGAAATAGTACAGTAACCCAGATTCATGGAGGGCAGGACTCTCTGGCCCTTTACACAGCCCAGTCTTCCAAGAATGCCACTAAACAAAAAGCAGAAGATTCAGATGACATAAATACTTCTAAAAGCCACCAGGTGATTTACTTGCATCAGAAGAATCTCTTATGAGGTAGAACAAAGGAGATTTAGCAAGGACCAAAAGTCTGACTAATTATATAAATACATATCTTACCAGTGCTTTTGTTGTTAAAAAAAAAAGGTGCAGGTACTCTTTAAGACCAGTCTGACTGTCAGCCATTTTCATTACAGAGGTGCTGGTACTCTGTTCTTTCCAGGTAAGCTCTGACTGGAGATGCCGGTACTGCGTACTGGGCAGTACAATCACAAAAAAAGCACCATATGTTACACTTATCCTACAATGTCCAGGCTTGGGAAAATTAAAACAAACAAAATGGCCATAAAACCAACCAAATTATTGGGAGGCAATTTTGGAGACCACCTTTAAAACTCAGGACCATTCTGTCATCAGCACCCTGAACCATATCCAGGAGAAAATAGGAAGGTAATACAATGATGTTTATTCATATCAGCCTGTTCCACTTTACAGCTGGGCAGCTGCCACATTTGGTATTGTAGCCTTGGAAAGATCTTTGGGGCAGCGACAAGTACAGTGCACAGCAGCAGTCCAACCTAGGCGTGCCAATAACATGGTTAATCATAGGACAGGAAGGGACCTCAAGAGGTCTTCTAGTCCAGTCCCCTGCTTTTAAGGCAGGATTAAGTATTAAATAGACCAGTGGTCCTTAAATGTTAGCAACCTGAAGAGCCACATTTTGATGTAAAAGTTTTCACGCACCCCAAAGCCTCTTCCTGCTCAGCCTCAAGCCTTGCCCTCACTCCACCCCTTCCCCTAGACCCTACTTTTACCCCATTGCACCCCTGCTTCTACTCCTCCTCCCTGCCTTTTTCCACACCCTCCCCCAAGCATGCTACATTCCTCACTCTTCCCCCTCCCTCCAAGTGTCTCTAAGGTTTCCAACTGTCTACTCAGAGAAACCCAAACACTCTTGCCTCTTCCCCAAGGCCCTGTTCCTTTTCCAAGGCCCCATCTCATTCCCTCCATCCTGCTCCCTCCTTCACTCACTCTCTCCTACCCTCACACTTTTACCGGACTGGGGCAGCAGGTTGAAATGCAGGAGGAGGTGCAGACTCTGGGCTGGGGTCAAGGGGTTCAGAGTGTGAGAGGGGGCTCCAGGCTGAGCCTGGAATAGGGGTTTCAGGTGCAGGAAGGAGTGTGGGGTGTAGGCTGTGGGAAGGAGTTTGGGTGCGGGATGGGGCTCAGGGCTGGGATGCAGGAGCAAGTTTGGGTTGCAGACTCTGGGAAGGGGCTTAGGGCTCGGGCAGAGGGTTGGTGTGTGGGAGTGAGGACTGTGGGCTATAGTCCAGTGGCACTTACCTTGGGTGGCTCCTGGTCAATGGCACAGTGGGGTTAAGGCAGGTTCCCTGCTTGCCCTGACCCCGTGGGGCTCCCAGAAGCAGAGAACATGTACCTGCAGCCTCGGGGAGAGGGAGTGGGTAGACACTGACCATGCTGCTCCTATTGGCCACAGAACCCAGCCAATGGCGTTCCAGGAAAGGGCAGTGCACAGAGACCCCTGCACCGCCAGGGGCTACAGGGATGTACTGATAGCTTCCATGAGTGGTGCAGAGCCAGGACAGGCAGGGAGCCTGCCTTAGTCCTGCTGCCTCCACTAGCAGGGAGGCATTGATCACTGAAGCTGGTGGACCCCATGGAGATGGTGGATTCCCTAGTACCTTTGTGGACTCCTGAGGTCCCTAGTCCCCAGTCTGAGAAACACTGATCTAGACCATTCCTGACATGTAAAAATATCTAGTGGTAAAATCCCACAGTGTTCATTGGCAATTTATTCCACTGTTTAACTATTTTGACAAATACAGTTTTTTCTCTCAAATCCAGCCGAAAGTACCCATGCTTCAATTTAAGCCCATTGGTTCTTTTCCTATCCTCAAAGGTTAAAGAGAACAATTTTTCTCCTCCTTCCATGTTAACAACCTTCTATGTACTTGAAAACTGTTACCATGCCCCTGCCTCCATCTAGCTCTACTTCAGGTCTGCTTTAATCAATAGGAGCAGGTGATTAAAGCATGAATATTTGTTTCTGCATAATGTAAATAAGGGGATTCGATTTGTGTCATT